CCTGTCATATTCAGAGCTGGGGGCATGATTTGGCATAAGAACAGAAACTAAAGCAATTTCACATGTTTTCCTGGGGAGAGAACTGAGCCCTGAGAACCACTGGTGTGATTACCAGAATTCCACCTCCTGGGGCCCTCTCGTCCCCTCAATTTCCCCTCAGCTGCAGCCCTGCCCTGCTCTGGCTGTCACCTGGTCCTCACGACTCTTGGGCTGTACCCTGTGACTCCAAATGCCCTCAGCCCCTCTGTGCTCCCTGTGCAGCTCCATGAATGTCACCCTGGGAGCCCACAACATCGAGAGGCCAGAGGAGACCCAGCAGGTCATCCATGTGAGAAGAGCCATTCCCCACCCAGACTATATTCCCCACCCATTCTACACCAATGACATCATGCTGCTGCAGGTAAGGCAAATTCCTGCTGCTCTCTCTCTACTTGGTTCTGTTCCCCTCCCACTGTGATGCTGTCCCTGTCCATCCCAGCCACTTGACCATTTCCTGTGCTTCAGAGGGGAGGGAAGAAGGTCGGCCCCTGCACAGCGCACAGCGCCCAGGTCCAGGAGGCCACGGTCTGACCTGGACTTTCTTGCCTCTTCCCCACCAGCTGGACAGAAAGGCCAAGAGGACTACAGCTGTGCGGCCCATCGGGCTGCCCAGGATCTCAGGCGGGGTGATGCCAGGGATGGTGTGCAGTGTGGCCGGCTGGGGCTGGACTACTCCAGTGGGCCACTACCCAGATACACTGCAGGAGGTGATGCTGACAGTGCAAAATGACTGGAAGTGTGAATCCCGCTACCCTCAGGCTTACATCAAGGCCACCCAGATATGTGTGGGGGACCCAAACCTACAACAGGCATCCTTTTACGTAAGACTATGCAGCTGCTACTTTGCTCTGGGGGAAGGGAAGTTTGGGAAAGATCAGGAATCTGGAGACCCAAGCGGTAGGGAACTCCTTCACCCACTAGGCTGTGATCTTTCTCTTGGAAGAGAAGAGGGGAGCACCCCAAGCTAACTGGGGTCTCTACACACTCAGCTTGGGATCTCTGGTGAATGGAAGGATACATTTGCAACACTCCAACCCCTCCTTCTACCATGGTCACTGGTATTAACAAACTGTGCTTTCAGGGGTTGGTGGGGAGGCGATAATTATAAGGAGGTGGCTCCTTGGAGCTGGCACCCAATGTGGCGAAAGGGCTCATCCTCCTATGTGTCAGTCCTACTCACCTGCCTCTGTGTCCTTGAATGGTGACCTGGAGGCACCAACCACACTTTTATAAAGAGAAGACCCTAGGATCTGGGGTAGAAGACCAAGGCTGGCCCCTGGGCTAAAGGGAAGCAGTGACAATATCCGAGGTCAGGGCACCCACAAAGGCCTGCCCTGCCCCTTACCACACCCCAGGCAGGCCATGCGAATTCACCATCTCCGAGAGAGGGCCTGAGATGACAGG